CTATCTAGATGTAGCCTAGGGAATGTAATGCTGACTCACTTGGATGACAACGCTCCCCTCCCCACTGTGGATTTTCCAACTCCCAAATGATTTCCCACTGACCAGTAGCAATCCAGTGTTGCAAGCTTCCAGAATATAATTGCCGCTTCCTGTTCCACTATTAATTCTGCTTTCATTCTGGTGTCCCTCCACTGACGGGCTGGGGTGAGCTCTGTAGACAGACCCAGAAAGATGAGTTTTCACATCCAAAGTTCTGCCGTCAATGCTCATCAATTCAAACCTGCAGTTTAATGTACCTCCACCAGGCAGTGTTCATTTCTCAAACTGGGAATGGTCTTGACCATCTGCAGGTGCTCTATGAATGTCACCAACAACTTGAATTGTTTTCCCCTATGTTCCTCAGCAAATTGTCCTCAAAAAAATCACCATGTTACCCATTGCTGCAGTACTTCCTGCAGCTCTGCTAATACAGGAAGATCATGCATCCTAACTTTCATAAGAATAGTGATAGAGATGCAGCCGTGTTAGTCTGGTCTAGCTGAAACAAAAGACAGAACTATGTAGCACTTTAAGACTAGCAAGATGGTTTATTAGGACGATTCACATAGTGAAAGAACGTTGGCAACTGCTGCAGGCATCCACAGAATAGAGCTGAAGTTCTGGGCCTGTATGAAGAAAGCACCGAGTGATGGACTCAGAACACATGCAGCTCTGAGAAGATCAGCAGTGGCTTCAGAACTTGGGGGCATGGAAGGCCACATTTTGGCAGTTGTTTTAATAATTTGCCCCAGCCTTCCAGTGCAGAAACACAAAAAGGAGAGCTGGTCTCACAGCACAGAAACAGGGAAGCTTGCAATCCCATATTGCCATTGGCTGGTGGACAATCAGTTCAGTGTGCAGTAAGGGTTGCCACCAGGTATTCAGTTTTTGACTGGAACATGTAGTCAAAAAGGGACCCTGGTGGCTCTGGTCAGGGCTAGATCATTAAAAGTCGGATTGGCGCGGGGCTGGGAGGCTCCCTACCCAGCTGTGCATAGCTCATGAGAGGTGGCTGGCATGTCACTCTGGTTCCTAGATGCAGGAGTTGACACGGGGGAAGGAGGACTCTGTGCACTGTCCCTGCCTTGAGCACTGGCTCCGCAGCTCCTATTGACTGGGAACTGCAGCCAATGGGAGCTGCGGTTGCAGCCCTGCAGGCAGCACGAGGGACAGTATGCAGAGTCCCTGGGCCATGCCTCTGTTTAGGAGTTGCTGAAGGGACATGCTGGCTGCTTCCTGGGAGTTGCCTGAGCTGAGCCATAGTAGGTGCCACCCAAGGAGTCTGGACCACTGTGTGCAGCTCTGGATCCTCCATCAGCTCTGAACAGCATTCCCTGTGGGCAGGGGTGGCCCGTGACTATAGGCCGACTCAGCTGTCGCCTAGGGCGCCGCCTTCAACAGGGCACCCGGGGCGCCCAATGATGACGTCATGGGGCACCCAAGGCGCCCAATGATGATGTCACTCCATTGATGGCCATGCAGGTGGGGGCGCCAATCGCGCGTTCTGCTTGGTGGGGGTGCATTGCCAGTTCTGATTCTCAGAGACTTACTCTGCTCTTTGCTTCCTTGGCTCATGAAGCCATACCGCAGGAATCTGGAAAGCAGCAAAGAAACATTTAACTATTACTTGTGCAGGTGCAGGATGATCACAGTGTGTGTGCGCCTTTAGCTGATTAAATGGACAGTGGGGAGGTCTCTTGACCAGACTGGATCTCTGCAAGCAAAATATTTATTTTATTATATATTGTATTCGACATAATATTTGCAAAGCAAAGGGGGGAACATTACAAGCAGGATGAAGTGGGAAGTGGAAAAATTATTGGCTGATTTTGATCAGCCTTACACAAGAGAACTGCATATCTGAGGGAGGCCTGAGAAGCACACTTCCAATGTGCCATAACCAGCCATTGGGCTGCAGCTGATTCTTGGTGAATAAACAGTGCATGTGTAACTGCCACTGGTCAGATTTGAACCGGACCTCTCAAGCATAGTATAGGAGCCTCTACTCTTTGAGCTAAAAGCCAGCTGGCTTTCAGCCCATGCTGTAGAAGTCTCTTGGTTTTATCTATTGCTGTGGTGTAGGTACCACTGCATAGGACAGTGAACCACACTGAGGGTATGTCTAGACCACACCCCTCTGACGGCAGAGGGATGCAGATTAGGCAGGTCGACATTGCAAATGAGGCAGGGATTTAAATATCCCGCGCCTAATTTGCATAAAAATGGCCACTGCATTTTGCCGATTCAGCACTTTGTGCAAGAACCCGCCAGTGGAGACATAGCCTAGGTGTGTGGGTTACACATGACCAGAGTGTGAATTCATATTGGCTGTGTCTAGACTGGCAAGTTTTTCCGCAAAATCATCTGATTTTGCGGAAAAACTTGCCAGCTGTCTACACTGGCCGCTTGAATTTCCGGAAAAGCACTGACGATCTCATGTAAGATTGTCAGTGCTTTTCCAGAAATACTATGCTGCTCCCGTTTGGGCAAAAGTCTTTTTCCGAAAGACTTTTGCGCAAACGGGCCAGTATAAACAGCACAGTAGTGTTTTCCACAAAAAAGCCCCGATCGCGAAAATGGCGATCGGGGCTTTTTTGCGGAAAACCGCATCTAGATTGGCCACAGATGCTTTTCCGCAAAAAGTGCTTTTGCGGAAAAGCATCTTGCCAATCTAGACATGCTTTTCCGAAAATGCTTTTAACGGATATTTAACGGGATATTTAACCCTTGATTTATACAAAGAAAACCAGTAGCAAATCTTCCCAGCTCCCAGCCTTGCACCCCAAAAATGCTCCGGTTCTTCTCATAAACAGTGCAAGCTCATTAATGAGCTTGCCACTTCATCAGAGGAAAGTGAACAAGCACCAGCCTTTGTAATCCTAGCAGATTCCACATGCACTTTAGACAAACTCATTGGTAAGGACAAAACATTACAATAAGTATATTAACTGCAGAAAGATAGCTTTTACGTGATTATAAGTGTTAGACATAGAGATCAAAATTGGTTCCTGCAGTCTAAAATCTAACTCTAACAGACTAAACAAAAACAAATAGTCTCTAGAAGCACCTTAAAGACTAAAAAAATGTGTAAATGGTATCATGAGCGTTTGTGAACACAACTCACTAAGCAAGATTTGAATCAAACAGCATTTCTCACCCTGCCGGATATTACAGGCAATTTACAGTTCTTAACATAGAGGTTGAATTCCTTTTCAGCCTGGGAGCAATCTCCCCAGTTCAAACAAAATACAGGACTATGTAGCGCTTTAAAGACTAACAAGATGGTTTATTAGATGATGAGCTTTCGTGGGCCAGACCCACTTCCTCAGATCAAATAGTGGAAGAAAATAGTCACAACCATATATACCAAAGGATACAATTAAAAAAAAAGTGAACACATATGAAAAGGACAAATCACATTTCAGAACAGAAGGAGGATGCGGGGGCGGGGGGAGGAAGGTAAATGTCTGTGAGCTAATGGTATTAGAGGTGATAATTGGGGAAGCTTTCTTTGTAATGGATAAGGTAGTTGGTGTCTTTGTTGAGCCCGACTTAGAGTGTCGAATCTTAGCATGAATGACAGTTCAGAGGATTCCCTTTCAAGTGCAGATTTGAAAGGCTGTGTCACCCAGACTCTCCCCCAGGTGTTGAGATAGGAGAGGAGAGAGGTCAATTGACAATGTCAACAGCCCTCACTTTTATTTTCTCTCCAGGTGCTGTGACTTGGGGGTTAGGTAGCCCCCCATTGTGAAAGTGCCCTCTCTGAGCAGTCTTCTTATCGGCCCATCAACACGTCTGTCTGGTCCTGATATGAATCTGTCTTGTCGGTTGCTCCTTTGTTGCCACTGAAACGCCAGCTGTGGGTGTCTCCCACTTACCACATAATTCAGGAGCAAATATGTCGCCATACTTCATAACTTCACATCACAATGACAGCACATACAATTCAACAGGGTATTAATGTTCAACAGATCCAGATTTTTGAATGGTCCCTCCCAAGACCTACTTTATACAAAAGTTATCACAAACAGGTGTTGAACATGGAGGGTGCTATTTTGAGACAGAGGCACAAAGTTTTTCCACACTTCCATGTGCAATAATAAACAACACACACACCATTAAAAAAGATTAAAACCACTGAAAAAGTGCAATGAGCAGAGGAACAATTTACAGCTCAGTGTAGGTGCAGCCCTAAGAGTTCCCTTTATTTTCTAACTGGAAATAGTGGACGGGGTAATGTTGCAGAGAATGTATTTTCCCTTGTTTGTTTCTTTTTCAACTCTATCCCAGTCAGTCTTGTAGCAGACCTGAAGGGAGTGCCCCTCCGTGAACACTGAGGGAGAGGCCCCTGATAAGCAGCCAGACAGATTCAAGGGTCCAGTAGCAAACAGAAACAGATAAGCGTCACAACTCACTACATTTTTCCCATATAGCTCTCTATAAACATTATGAACAAGCATGAATGCTTGCTTCCGGGCCATCAGTCACTACATAGCACAGAGAGGCTATGTCTAGACTGCAGGCTTCTTGTTCAAGAAGCTTTTTGCAGAAGAGATCTTCCACAAACATTTCTTGCACAAGAGTGGGTCCACACTGCAAAAGTGCATCGGAAAAGCGATGTGCTTTTGCGCAACAGAGCGTCCAGACTGCATGGACACTCTCTCACAAGAAAGCTCTAGAGAGGTAGCCATGTTAGTCCGATCTTGCTAAAACAAAAGGAAAAACTATGTAGCACTTTAAAGACTAACAAGATGGTTTAATAGGTGATGAGCTTTCGTGGGCCGGACCCACTTCCTCAGATCATATTCTGGAAGAGAATATATATGGTCATGCCAATTCTCTTCCAGAATATGTTCTAAGGAAGTGGATCTGGCCCATGAAAGCTCATCTTGTTAGTCTTTGAAGTTCTACTAGTTTTACCATTTGTTTTAGCAAGAAAGCTCTGATTAGCATTAGCAGAATGGCCACCAGGGCACCTGTGCTTCTTTCTATAGGCTGTTTTTGCAGAAAAAAAAACCTATTTCCCGTCCACACACAGCCTTTTACACAAGAGCTCTTGTGCAAAAAGGCTTATTCCTCGTAGGAAGAGGAATAACTATTGCTCAAAAACCCCTCTCCTCTTCTGATTTTCTGTACATTTTCTTGCGCAAAAACGTGTTTGCAGTGTGGATGCTCCACAAGTTTTTGCGCAAAAACTCTTCAGTCTAGACATCGCCTGAGTGTAGGGGGATGATTTGCAAACCTGGTAGCTACGAGAAGTGGCAGGGCTGAACAGCATCGAGGTGCCCATGTGACAACGGACAGAGTCGAGAACACTGCTAAAGTCATTACAGGCAATGGTGATCAAGGTTTCCTGAGGCAAGCTGTCAAAGACCCATAGAATGCAGATGCTTGAGATCACAGGTGATGCACGGAGAGCAATGCAGGGTCACATGCCCGCCCCACCCCCGACCAATTCACTGTTTTGCTTGTACTGAGCATGCATACACAGACTGAGCATGCTCAGTAACACTGCTGAAGTGGACTGCCCTTGCTCTGCCCCTGCACGACCGCTAGGCACAGGTCATTTTGCTTGAGATGTCTCCTGGTCACTCCAGGCCATATGCTCCTGACTTCTTCACAGTGATGGTGGCCCCAGAGCTAACTGCAGAATGGCTTTGGAAGTTGTTTTATTGCAGCAGGTGAAACAAGTCAGCTATTCCTGGAAATGTGCAAAGATCAAACAGTCCTTATTTGAGAACATCACTGAAATTGTGCCCAAGGACAAAAGGGAGGGCGAGGATAAGATAAACCAGAGTCTCTGCAAGCAGAGAAGAGCTGTGCTCACTGGCTAGCTTTGTGAGCCCACAAGCCCTTGGAGCCAGCAACATACCATTTTCCTTTCTCCTGAAACAAAGCCTGGTCTGCGAGTAATTTGTTTTGGACATGTGGCCTCAGAAACAAAAATAGCGTGTTTGAGTGCAAAACATGCTGTCAGAAAATGAGCAATGTTCTTCCTGCAAAATTATGCGGTATGAGTGCCCAGTGGTTGGAGCATTGTGCGCATTCTTGTTTCTCTTCCATGTATTTACTTTGGATGCTTGGGTATTGGTATATGTATTTTCGTGATGCTGGCAGGCCAGATCCCAGCACTTGCTCAGGCTGCAGGTGTTAGCTAAGAACAAACAGACACACAGGTGGTGACCAGATCAGTTTGCCTTTGTTATTTTAGCTCAAAATAGGTATTAGTCAGCCCTCGCCCTGCCCAGGCTCAGCAGGTAAGTCCCACAGGCTCAGCTTCTGGGGACAGGAGTTGACTCTGAGCATGCTGGGAAGGGCAAGGGGGGGCCGGCTCGCTTGGCCACTGTCCCCAGGAGCTGAGTCTGTGGGGGTTACCTGCTGCTGCAGCCAGGTCCTCTCCCAAGCAGCTGCCGTGCTGCACTGGGCAGCATCCGGGAGCAGCTCCAGAGCCTGGCTGCCAGAAGAGCATCCAAACAGCCAGGCAAAGCCAGGCCAGTAACATGGGAGGGGCCCTGCACTGGAGGTAGGGAGGAGTCACATGGGGTCCTGCGGAAGGAGTCACAAGGGGGTGTCACATGTCCCCCCTTAGCTGGTGCCCCCCTTTTTGTCCCTCCCACTAGTGGCCTTTGTCAGTGGCTCCTGCACTTGTGGGGTGGTACAGGTGGCAGCCCAGCAACGAAGCCGGCAGCAGCTCGCTGGGTACCCGCCAGAATAAACCTTTTGACAGTTTCTTACAGGATTGGCTACAGCCATTGTCACTGGTGTAAGATCTAGGGTACCAATTGGTTGGGGGTAAGTGACTGGCCTCTTGGGACAGGGAGCAAACTGACTATTGTGTGCTTTTGGGTTCAAAAGACCATTTATCGCTCACTCCATTTTGTCTGAGTGTCGAGGTAGACTGGATAGTCTGAGAAGTCTGCCTGACTCCACGGTAAGCCTTCTGCAGTGATCCAGGACCTCATTTGTGATTGCTCCAGTGAAATCTAATATAATTTTGGTTATCAGCTCTGTTTTTGACAGTCTGCCCTGGGGTGAGCCTCTCTAGACAGCATGACGGTTGATGTTTGGAACTGAATTTGCATTGTTTTTACTTTACTTTTTTTTTTCCTGCCTGCATAGAATACATACATGCTTTTTGGCTATTTACAGTACTCTTTCTGCTTCTTGGTTTAATACTGGCAGCGCCTGGTCTTAAAATAAACTGAAACTTTAAAAGGCAATTCCTTTGTTCCTATCCTCACATGGTCAAATAGGGGGGGGGGGGGGCGGAGGAGTTTTGGGAGCCTGGAAGAAAGTTAACAGAAAAGGAGTACATTAATGGGAGCGGTAAGTTACACTTACCAGAATTATCTTCCCCTTTCTCAGTGGGTTCCACCTCTGGGTTTGGCTAGGTCACAATTGGCTGGAGCGAGAATAGCTCCTGGCTCTTCCTGTGCTCCACTTCCCCTCTCTTCATCACTGGATAGTTGTGGGATGCCTTCCTTCGGATGTCAGAAGGTGTCCACTGCTTCTCGTGGGGCCGTGGTAGACTCCCCGCTCAGTGTTGTATGGAGTTCTGCATAGTAGAAGCAGGTATAGGAGGGGCAGCACTATCTGGTCTGTGGGCCTCCCCTGCTCTTTGGTAGGATTCCTGCATTCCTTTCTCCTTCACCTGGCATTGCTGGTTGTCCCTGTTATACCCCAGCTTCTATATGCAATTTGCAAGTCCAAATAAACAATTCCTGCGGCATATCCATAGTTGGCCGCGCACTGCCCCTTCCCCCCAGAGGCTGAGGAACCCAGGGACTTCTTTCAGGAGCGGCAGAAGCTCCTTAAAAGTGGAAGACCCACCGACACCCAAATCCCACAGCCTCATGTAGCCCCTCCCTCATGAACCCCAGCCCACACACCATCCCTTCAAGGCCCCACCTCCAATGCCACTCCTTCCCCTGAAGCTCAGCTGTCCTACTGCCCATTCCCACTAACACCCTGGTCTCTCCTCTCCACCCCTTCCTCCCTGTCTCTTGCCTTTAAAAGTGACGGGGCCATGGGCCCCTAACCTCCCCCCCCTTTTGACACCCCAACTCCTTTCCTTGACCAGGCAGCAGTACCAGGCATCCTTAGCTGCAGCTTTACCCATCTCCTAATGTGGCAAAGATGAGCTTCCAAAAGTAGAAGCAGGAAACGATAGGCATTTTAAGTAGCAGGTGACGATAGGCTTCTGGCTGCTGTGATCCAGAGTTCAAAAATTCAGCCCTGTAGTCACTGCTGTGGGGAGAGGACACGGCTATTGTTGCCAGAGAACTTTTGGTAGGGGTACAGGTAATTCAGCATTGACACGAGTATTGTACTGGTGGAAAATTGCCAATGCAGGATTGAAGCTTCTTGGGAAAGAGGTATGCGGGGGTGTATGAACCCACCTGGGTGCGGAGGATGACAGAGAAATCCTTGGGGCTCTACTAGCCCGACCCCTCCTGACTTATCAGTCATATATAGAATCATAGAAAGCTAGAACTGGAAGGGACCTTGAGAGGTCATCAAGTCCAGTCTCCTGCCCTCTTGGCAGGACCAAGCACTGCGATCATCCCTAACAAGAGTCTGTCTAACCTGCTCTTAAATATCTCCAGTGATGGAGATTCCACAATGCCGCTATGCAATTTATTCCAGGGTTTAACCACCCTGAGAAGTTTCTCCTAAAGTCCAACCTAAAACTCACTTGCTGCAATTTAAGCCCATTGCTGCTTCTCCTAGTCTCAGAGGCCCAAGAGAACAATTATTTTCCCTCCGCCTTCTAACACCCTTTTAGATGCTTGAAAACCACTATCATGTCCACTCTCAGTCTCTTCTTTTCTAAACTAAACAAGTCCGGTTCTTTCAGTCTACTCTCACAGGTCATGTTTTCTAGACCTTGAATCATTCTTGTTGCTCTTCTCTGGACCGTGTCCAATTTCTCCACCTCTTTTTTGAAATGTGGTGCCCAGATCTGGACACAATACTCCAGCTGATGCCTAATCAGTGCAGAAGAATGACTTCATGTCTTGCTGTGACGGGGCAGGCGCCGCATCCGCGCTCCCCCGCACTGAGTCGGGAACCGGGGGGGGGCGAGGCAGGCGCCGTTCCCGCAACCCCCCGCACGGAGCCAGGGTCTGGGACAGAGACTGGTCCGCCGGGGAAGTGGGCGATCGGGGGAGGTCCGGCTGCGAGGGACCCGGAAGGCTGAGCAGAGGGGGAAAGGGCAAGCGGCCACGAGGACGCTCCGGCGCGGCCGGATGACGTCAGGGGGAGCGGCGCGGGGGGCGCCCAGGAGGGCGGGACCGCAGGCGCCGGGGGAGGACCCGCCTTACTGCTCGGGCGGGGAGTTCAAAAAGGCAAGATCCCCAGCCCAGAGGACACCAGGGGCGAGGAGATGGACAGACCCCCACACTGGGGGAAGTCCCGCCTTACGGCTCGGGCGGGGAGTTCAAAAAGGCAAGAGCCCCAGCCCGGAGGACACGAGGGGCGGGGAGACGGACAGTCCCCCACAAGGGCAGAAGAACACAGGGGAACCCAGGGGCACGGACCCTCGGCGGAGGCAGAGACCGGGGGTAAGTCTATTCCCCCGCTGGGGAATTCCCCGGGGCTAAGCCGGGAAGAAGAGACCCAGGGCGGGGCCGCAGTCCCCGCGAGTGGAGGGTTTGGGGGAACTTGTCCCCCTCCACTATCCAGGGACTAGCGTCCCTGTCTTAGGGCCCTGGGTCGGGGCTCGGATTGTGGGAGGGCCCGAGCCCCCTTCCCGGCCCCCTCAGGCCCATCGGAGCGTGGGCCGACAGCGCCTACAGTTAGGACCGTGGGCAGGCGGTCAAGCACAAAACAGAGAGGGTGCCCGAACTTGGGGTGACCTCCCGAGACTTGGGAACACTCGGTGACACTTGCTCACAAACTCCTGTTAATGCATCCCAGATTCATGTTTGCTTTTTTCCCAACAGTGTCACACTGTTGACTTTAACTTGTGATCCACAATGATCCCTAAATCCATTTCTGCAGTACTCCTTCCTAGACTTCCCATTCTGTATGTGGAAAACGGATTGTTCCTTCCTAAGTGGAGTACTTTGCATTCGTCCTTATTAAACTTCACCCTATTTACCTCTGAATATTTCTCTGGTTTGTCCAGAATATTTTGAATTTTGACCCTATCCTCCAAAACACTTACAACCTCTCCCAGCTTGGTATTAAGCTGCAAACTTAATAATCGTATTCTATATGCCATCATCAAAATAGTTGATGAAGCTATCGAACAGAACTGGTCCCATAATGGACCCCTGTGGAACCCCACTTGTTATGCCTTTCCTGCATGATTGTGAACCATTAATAATTACTCTCTGAGAACAGTTATCCAGCCTGTTATGCACCCACCTTATAGTAGCCCCATCTAGGTTACATTTCCCTAGTTTAGTGATAAGAAGGTCATGCGAGACCGTGTCAAATGCCTTACTAAAGTCTAGGTATATCATGTCCACTACTTCTCCCTTATCCACAAGGCTTGATATTCTATCAAAGAAAGCTATCAGATTGGTTTGATATGATTTGTTCTTTACAAATCCATGTTGGCTGTTACCTATTGCCTTATTTTCTTCCAGATGTTTGCAGGGAGATTCCTTAATTACTTGCTCCATTATCTTCCCTGGAACAGAAGTTAAACTCATTGGTCTGTAGTTTCCTGGGTTGTTGTTCTTTCCCTTTTTATAGGTGGGCATGATATCTGCCCTTTTCCAGTCTTCTGGAATCTCTCCTGACTTCGATGATTTTTCAAAGATGATACTTAAAGGCTCAGATTCCGCCTCTATCAGCTCCTGGAGTATTCTAGGATGCATTTCATCAGGCCCTGGTGTCTTGCAGACATCTAACTTTTCTAAGTAATTTTTAACTTGTTCTTTTTTTATTTTATCTTCTAAACCTACCCCATTTCCACTAGCATTCACTATGTTAAACATACCATCACCATCAAACTTCTTGGTGAAAACCAAAACAAAGGAATCATTAAGCACATCAGCCATTTCCAAGTTTCCTATTAACTTGTTTCCCTCTTCACTGAACAATGGACCTACCCTGTCCTTGGTCTTCCTCTTGCTTCTAATATATTTGTACAATGTCTTCTTGTTGCCCTTTATGCCTCTATCTAGATTTAGCTTGTTTTGTGCCTTTGCCTTTCTAATCTTGCCCCTGCGTACCTGTGCTGTTTGCTTATATTTATCTTTTGTAATTTGATCTAGTTTCCACTTTTTATACGACTCCCTTTTGATTTTTAGATCATGTAAGATCTCCTGGTTGATCCAAGGTTGTCTCCTGCCATACTTTCTATCTTTTCTACATAGTGGAATAGTTTGCTTTTGGGCCCTTAATGATAGATGGTAAAGGGGAAGCCTTTAATGGGGTGGACAGAATCACAATCAGCTGGGGTGAAGGAAGTATGAGCGCCCTAAGTAGGAAAAAGAACTCCTAGAGCTACACTGGGAGCTCCCAGCTCAGATTCCTTCACCCTGACCCTGCTATGGGTAGTGTTGTGAACTCTCAGGGCTAGCAAGACAGACTTCAGAAGGTCAAGGCTCTCTTGCAAATTGTAAGTGTTGCATAAATTGCAAGGTTCGTCCCCTGGAGGCTAGTCTAATTTGCCCACAGAAGAGAGTCACACTTTCAGGCTGGGTCCAACTCAGTTTTATTGTTTGCAAACAATGTTTGGCCAAGGAGCTCAGTGCTCAAAGCAACGCCGACCCCAGGCGTTGGCTAGTTAACTTCTTATATAGACTCTTAAAACTGTCTTGTATGGCGTGCTAAAACATAATTGGCTATTTTAACTTTGCTCTTAACTTCCTTCTCAAGCTTGGTTCATTACCAAATAAGGCTTGGTACAGCATACAATAGCGCTTATACAACAAGTATAGCAATTCTCAGAAGTTGCGGACTTAAACGTGGGGCGTGCAGTTTCATTCCTACTCAATGGAGATGGGTTTAGCTTTTTGCTACATAAGGAGATGGGGTCTGGGCTGAAGACACCCCATGTAAATAACTGGGCAAGAACCATTAGAGAACCTATTTATAGGGGGTTTAACTGAGAT